TCTCGCTCTCTTTGTATGCACATATATATATATGTTTAGGTGTGTGTAAAAGGAATAAGGATGCATATTTTAAAAAAATACGACATTCTAACTGTATATGTTCACCAAGAATATGCGTTTTTATAGGGATTCGGATAGATTTCAATGTAGATCAACACTTAGAGATCACAGAAAATCAAGGACTGAACAACTGTTTAATCTTAGATTAGGACTCTTCAACAGTGTGCATCCATGCGCAACCCCACCTACTGGATCCAACAAAAGACCTTTAGGTTGTGAGACCAAGCTAACTGAATATTCAGCCACTTGGATGGGAAATTCAACGACCCGTGAATTCCCACTTCTGTTAATTTGCACGATACAGCAGTACACTAAACTATTGCCCTCGACAAGCGTTCACTTCATCTCGAAATGATCGACCCCACCGGCCAGGTGTTCTCACGAAAACTTCAAGATATTCATTCAGCAGCCCCACCAATGAGCTGGAGATCTATGTTTAGATTTTGGATTTCTGTAGGGAATTGAATTAATTTCAGTCTAGACTATTTCGGTGCAAACCAACATTAGTATACACTTGGCTTATCCTAGAGACTCGTGCGACTTAAACATTGGTACAATGTTGGCAGCTTGCATATAAATCTGAGTCTAACCTATTACGACACGTTTTCACAGTTTTATGATCCAATCAGGAAACATTATCGAGACACTCCAATTACTATGGCTGTTCAGGAGACTGATTGTTTAACAGTTTGTTCAAATTATCTCATTATATGAGGTTTGAGGAGGGAATGCGAGAAGATGACCTGAAACAGCCAAACAGTACTTATTGGTTTTCAATAGTTCTCCAACCAATACAATCTGGTACGACCGAAGACGGGTCTTCGGTCTTCCTCTCGAAACGCTCTCATGTAGCCACGAGTTCATGACATCCACCAGGTGAATCCTATCAACTGCCTTCACGTAGTAGGGGTTTTCCTCACAAAAATAAAAAGCTAAATGTGAAAGTCAGGCCCTTACAACTGGACTGACGAACATCCACGTTTAGCTACGAGAGTTGAAAAGTACTGATTCCAAACTACGGAATCAGAAAGGATGGAATAGGGTATGAATTTGTTTTGGGCACTGAGAACCATGGGGATGCTGTCTGTCTGTCTGTTTTCGACATAGAACTTTGCACATATGTGCACCAGTTCAAGCCGCCACACTCCGTGTAGCACGCGAAGTAAGAGAAGAAAGTACAAGAAAAGCATAATAGAAACAGTGAGCAGAGGTGTGAGACAAAGAAGTAATAAAGAAAAACAAAAGTTTCATTGAAGATCATAAGTCACAAGGAGTGGATGCATCTGCGCCAGCGCCACTGAGAACGATTTTGAGCCATGTCACCAATTGTTTCCAACCATTGATTTTTACCGTCCCGAGGACCCCAGCCTGGAAGTCTACACCTTCCTACGTGGCTTAGACCAACTGTTGTGGATTTCATTGACTGGTGCCAAGTTTTTGTTTGACCGCCGCTAGCTTTTTTCCAGCCTGACCCTATATCCGCTAACATTGCTCGTCGAGGGAGGCGATGGCTTAGCATACGTAACACATGTCTTAACCATCTCAGTCTTTGTAACTTCACGACTTCGTCGATTGATTTCCCCTGTTTACCTAGCACTCGACGCCTAACTTCAATGTTGCTCACCTTATTATGCCACTTTACACGGGAAATAGAGCGCAGGCACCTATGATCAAAGACAGCTAGTCTTTTCATGTCTTCCACTCTCAGTGGCCAGGTCTCACAACCATAAAGGAGGATGGAGCGGACTGATGAGCAGTACACCCGCCCTTTGGTCGATAGTCGAACATCTCGTCTACGCCAGAGTCGGCGTAAACTGGCAAATGCGAAACGAGCCCCCTGTATTCGTGCTGAGATTTCGTCAGAGATCAACCCGTTGGGGCTGATGGTACTTCCCAAAATAAGTGAAGCGGTCAACGTGCTCTACCACTTCACTTCACGACTTCACTTCAGCTGCTCCTAACGCTACTCCACTGCCTTGTGGATAAGAACACAAGTCAAAGGTTTGGGAGGTAACCCCATAAGAGAAAACCTTGCCTCCGTATAAGCGTCCAGGCAGTATAACAGCCCATAAACCGACTATGAGACGTTGTGTGGTGCATCTCTTCGTACCAATAAGGTACTAGTTTGATATTTTCATAATAATGATCTCCAACGTATGCAAGTGGATTTCCAACATCAGTCACTTTCTTAAAAAAGCTTTCAACGGTGTTTATTTAACGTCAAAGCAAGACAGGCTGTGTGAACAGCTATTAACTGATTAAATTTGATGATGGCAGCTATGAACACGTTAAAACAGAAATTAGCAGAACATACGTAACACGAAACAGACAATTACAATTCAATATTGTAATCACAACCGGACCGAAACGAGACATTATAGACTCAGACACAGAGTTACGGATATGTTGGTATGCAGATGTGCATCACTTTCAGCCAATAGGCCCTATTTTATAATCCCGCTCCACCAACTTTAGTCTGGGAGACTGGGAAGTATCATCAGCCATCAATACAGTAAAGGTAACTTTTAGCATGGTATATGTTAAAATATGAGTGTCTATGTGTGTTAGTGATAAGTCCAAAAATACAATGAAATAATTTTTCAGAACTCATTGATTACCGTCGAACTGTCACTAATTCTTGACCAAAATCTACCATTACGTAAATTTATAAAAATCTGTGAGTATAGTGTTTTGATTTTCGGATCACTAATTGTGGACAAAGAGGCTCCAGAGAAAACGTAACTGTGATGGAAGTGATTTAAGCAAGCGTCCCACCGTAAGATGGTTATGCACAATGTTTTACAGACGCATGAACGTCAGTGATCAGTTGGTTGTATATTTTACCCTCCGATGAACAGATTAATGAACAGATGTACTAAACGGTAACTCTCCAAATCCATCAGACATAAGCATTTAAAAGCAGAAAAATGAAAAGGGTCTAAAGGTCTTCAGTCAGGAATATATTCGTATCAGTACTACTAGTGAGTGCTGGAATCACAAAAAAGACAAATAAATAGTGAGGATAAATGTAAAAATTGTTAGATAGGAAAAGCAAGTCAGTTAACCAGGTTGTAAGGCTTTATAGCTTCTAATGGTTGAGATTTGTGTTTTACATGGCGAATCAGCATATCAGTTCTGGAATAAAGTTATGTTTAGTTAGCGAAGTGAGGTAAAATGCATTCGTTTACTCCTGTGTAAAGTTTCAGATTCACATGTTACTGTGTGTCTAACACTCGGAACGATTGACGATTATTTATTATGGGTTTAACATATTGGATTTATTACAGAACAGTAATCAATGAAAAATTATTAATTATTATATGAACACCTGTATTGTTATCTGTGCTTTGAAGACAGAAAGAAAGAAAAAGAGAGTAATGCATGCTCTAGATGCCCACCCGGAACAAGGTAAATTCAGAAAACGCGATTCATATGCGGATTCAGTTGCAATGTTATGCATTATTATCAAACAGAAAACAGAATGGCAGTCAAATGTCTATCACAGCTTCATCGACTTTAAAATGACGTTCGACAGTGTTGACTGTGAAGTAATTTATAAGTTGCTTCAACACCACAAAGTGCAACACCCCAAACCTTTATCAACCCTATTCGATAGCTATATGATGATACCATATGTCAAATGATTCATAACGGAATACGCTGAACCGACAAGAAGACTCTAGAAGATATGGACTTTGAGGACAATACCTAAAATAAGAGAAAATGAAAGATGAACGGGGTAAAACCAACAGATTGGTAGCAGGAGTATCAGAGAGAGAAACTTCAGTCAACATAGGCAAAATGGAGTTAACGAAGATACCTAAAAGACAACAACAACAAGCACCAATCATTATCAATGGAAATCACCTCTTTCACTTACTTAGACATTGTTACTTCAACTACGAATGGCACAAATGAGTATGTCAAAACAACATAGGATCGGAAAAGCAAGACAAACTTTCATCCCGAATCAGTGTGAATACCTGCTGTACTCATTCAGAATAAGGAACAAGACTAGGATTTTCAATACTAATGTCAAGTTTGTTCTTCTAAATTGTTTAAAGACTTCGAAAATCACTGTATACTTTTATCAGCAGCTACCTTCGTTCGACAACACTGAAGAGCAGATGACCAGCAAAAAAGGATAAACAACAAGGAAATCCGGCAGCTGACGAATTAACCTCCAACCTATCAGTCAACAAAAATGCAGAAGGAAAGGGAAGTGTATTGACCAGACATACCGCTGAGGAAACCATTGAGCGACATCACACCAGACGGGCGTTTTGACTGCAGCCTGAGCAGGAAGTAGCAAAGTTGACGTCACTTCGATGATGATGATGATATGGGAGAGGTCATATGAGGAAAAGACGAAAACTTATGAGCAATCGTGGAACCAACTAAAAAGGATTGCAGTTAACAGGATGAAATGGAGATATGCTGCTTAGAAGCCGTAAATTCCACTAGGAATCAAAGACAATGATAAGTACGAACTGTAGTCGAGAAAATACAAGCCTGAATTATAATTTAGGGCGTGGTGTACAGTAACACGTCTGAAAAATGGCTTCAATTTTTAATCAGTTCCTTTACTCGTAGTAAATCAAAAAAACGAATTCACTACTCAAAATCCAAGAGACTTGGGAAATCTTTTAAGAGTTCTATGCGTATTTATTGTTGAAAATAAGAGTTGATAGGTTCGAGTCTCAGTGGTTATAGATACACGTCTAACTGGAGAGCCCCGTAAAGGAGAAAAAACACGCGTTCTGGATTCTGATGTCAGCCACTACCACCAACTGAACAACATCAGGTTAACTAAAAGGTATTGTTAAAATTTGTGCATACAAGGAGCCACGAAATGCCAACAGAGACTGAGCACTTCAGTCAATTAAAGAGAAAACTGACAAGTGTTATCAAATAAGTAATAATTCTAATCACAGACTTACTGGCAGCTTCTAGTTGTCTAGCGGCAGCTGCACGAGTTCTTGTTGCGCCTTGTGAATAAGACAATTTAGAGAAATAATCTTCTTGATTAATACGTAGACAAGAACAACTTCGATGAACTACACCACCATTTTTCTGTGATTTCGATGAGTTGGATGCAGCACTATTCTGTGTTGATCGACCGTAAGTACTAAGATGACTGGTATTGTTATTTCGATGTCCATTCGAAACTGGTTGAGATTGTTGTGTAGATGAGCGTGTTGTTCCCCCCATAGTACTTTCTGTCATAATTGTACTCATTGAATTATTTCCACACAATTGTTGACATGACGTATTCGATTGTGTATGAATACAGTTGTTTGATGTGAGCAGGTAAACATCTGATTTTGTATTATTTGTAGTATGGTGATGAAAATTTGATCGTGAACAATGATGACCATTACCGCCGCATGTTGTCATACGAGTACCATTATTATTAGTGGTCACAGAAGTAGTACCAGCCGCAGTTTCTGTAGAGATGGCGCCACCAATGGATGAAGACTTAGCGCTTCTTGACTCTTTAACTCCACTAACATTACCAGAAGAACCCGAAGCTGCTGCTTGTGCTGCCGCTGCGGCTTGCTGTTTAGCCTCACGACGACGTGCTCGTTTAGTTATCTCTTTCATATGCTTTGGTCCTGGACCTTTTTTACTATCGAGGACCTAGAAATTAATAAAATACAATAATAACAACAATGTTTATACACACACCGGACATCACATGAAATACATAGGAAATAGTTATGTAGAAACAGAAAAGGAATAATTAGATGGTATATTGGCTATTGATTTTAGATAATAGTTACATCTGAAGGTATGCCTGTTCTTGTAGTCGTGGTACGACTTTATGCATTCAATTTACTTATCTGATCCAAATGAGAATATGAATAATCAGATAACCCTTATTAAAATTCCATTCTACTAACAGCCCAATATGCAAATCTCGAGGAAAGTGTTCAACTGGGTGGTTACTGGTATTATTATTATTATGAATACGACAGAAAGTGACAATGGCTTCTCTTTTAGGTAACCTAGAAAACTTTTAGTAACCATTGAAATCAATGACCTGGAATAACCCAGTGGTGAAGCCCCTGACAGTTAGAGGTTCCTGAGGAGCCCACCACAGAAAATAATTCAGTTTGTCTAATACCCTGTAATGATTGAGGTGAAGTACATAGGCCAAGGTATAACTCCATTATGGATAAGATTTTATTTTGATAAATCACACAGAGTTATACAGTAATGTTAGCTGATGATGTTTGGAGCAAAAATTATTGCTCATAATGCTCATATGGATATGATTATGAGCAATAATTTGTGCTCAAAACATCATCAGTTAACATTGCTGTATAACTCTGTGATTTATAAAAACAAAATCACATCTATTATGGAGTTACACTCTACCACGGTGCCCAAATTTTATACTTATAGATGCAGAGTCAGTTAGAAAAATCTGGACTAGTAGACCCGAATAAGACAAGGAATCTAGGAGAAAATAAGTTCAGCTATAACGCTGCATGCAGTTACACACAACCATAACAGTAAGATGAAACACAGGTGAAAGTCATGACCAGCTACGTCTACCAAGTTGAATATGAGGACAAATATTGGCCGATGACATCGGCAGGCAGTTGCACCAAAAACCGCGAATTCACAGCAGTCAGAATTCGTGGATAAGCCATTGGATACCATCCCAGTGGCTGAATGGTCAATATGCTCGTCTTGTAACCTGAAGATCCTAAGCACAATCAAATAAAGCATAATTATATTTCAATGGTTTACATACAATGATAAGTTTTGTTATTGGTAATATTTCGAGAAAAATTACTGCCCACGTTCAGACTACTGTTGGAATTGTTTTGCTTTTTAATTCCCAAGTACAATCTCTAACAAAGGGGTCATAGGTGATACTAAAAAATAATAACAATGAAATATAAGAGGGCTTAGTGGAGTTGGAAGCTCACTGAAAGTGAATGTGTCTGCGTCATTCAAAACGATTTTGAGCCATATTATTAATAGTATCCAGTCACCCAAGAACTTCAATTAGGTAGTCTACACCTCTCTATGTGACGGGCTCAAACCAACTGTCACGGACTTGATGGACTGATGCCAAGATGTGATTTGACCACCCCTAATATGTTTTCGAACCTAATCTTATGTCAGCTAACGGTGTCCATTGGGGAAGGAGATGATTTGGCATGCATGTTGTAACCATCTCAATCAATTTAGCTTCAAATCTTAGTCAGCTGACTTACCCTTTTCACGTAACACTATGGTTAACCTCGAAATTGCTAACCGTATTATGCCATTTAAGACAGGAGGCAGAACTCAAACATCACTAGTCTAAGTCACCTTCTATTTTCTGCTCGAGTTACGTTTGTTAGTGTCTTCACCTAGAAGGACAATATCATCCGCATAAAAAGACTATGCTCGGGTAATAACTGAATCCCCAAGTCACTGAAACCATTTAGTATTAATCCCATTAGTAAATCTACGATGAAATTGAACAAAAATGGGGATAGCGGGCATCCCATACGGACACCTCTGGTTGCCATCACTTCAGATGACAACTATTCGTAAGCTCCTATACGGCTGTTCGAGCTCTAGTTGAGTGCCCAGGTTGGCACCATATAGTTTTTCAGAATCCACCCCCCTTTACGGCCGAATATTGGCACAGCTCTTCTCCACCTACAGAGTCAAATGCCGCATTCTGATCACGATGACAAGTGAAGCTTACACCTATGTCCCAGAATATGTCGAGGGGTAAAAATATGACCAAAACATTCTCTTCTGCGCCTAAAGACCACAAAGCCTAGGTACTTTAGAGTCATGTTGTTTTTCTAACGTATGTCTAACTTCTCGCAAAACCCCTCTCTATAGTTAGCCGCATGATCCAGTCTATCACAATCAGGAATGTAATTGATGATGGGAGGCAACCCTGCCTTACTCCATTACCTTCATTATCACGATAGCCACTTACTCAAAGTATGTGCAGTTGTCGTCTGTCTCACCGGAGTAGAGTACTAACTCTCCACTTAACCAATTAGAGACTCCACTTCTATTCTACCTGCTCTCACAGATTCCTATCACTTCTATACTTTATTTTCTCATTTCTTTTGCAATTTAATCAGCCTTCCCAGTCAGCTTCAAACATCGTGCGGACATTCCCTGCCCCTATGTTTTTTTGCTATTGTCGAAAGTAGACTAACACATCAGCTGACTGGCTTTCGCCAGCCCGTGTTATTTCGTCTCTTCGATTCTTTCTGCGCGTTTAAGTTTTCGTAGATATCGGATTGACTTTCCGTAGTAGGATCATTGATTCGACGTTTAACCTTCCCACATTTTTCCGGACTTAGGATTGATTAGTAAACTAACCAACTGGATGAGATTTCCACAATTTATTGGCTTTCAATAATTCCTACCTCTAGCTTGACAAAATTGTTTCCATCTGATGACAGCTAACTTGATTTACTGTGGAAATGATGACACTCAACCGGCACAAAACTACTTCATATCCCACGTATCTACTTGTCCAAAGTTATACCATTAGGGAAAAATTAATCAAAATTAAAAAAAATACCAGACATAGGTAAAGACATTCAGTTAAGCATAAACAAAGATTAGAATCATTTGGAATATTTTGCTCATTTTATCTATCCATGCATTATATTGGAACTTTTTATCACAGCATTGCTTGCATACATCAAAATATCGACCATTTTTTCAAAAAAGTTAATCCATATTCACTGAACTAACGTCTCTTGAAGTATTGATTTTTCGCTCTTTCTTACAACATTAATTGATTCAATGAATAGAGATGAAGAATAGCTGACCTTGAATTGCAATATAGATGTATGCATAAATAATTAGAACATTACAACCTTTTAAAATTACAGGTCAAACAATAATTCTTGTGATAAAAAATTAAATGTGAATAACGCTGATTGACAAGACATTTTTCAAAAAGGGGAAGCGTAAACAAAATAGGGAAAGCAAATACAAAGGTGGAAATAGGTCAGTGTGTGTACAAAAATGGCACTACTATTCTCCTCTTCAGGTCTGAGATGAACGTAGGGTTTCAACGATACAACTCAACTTCATTCTGTTCTCTAAAGTCCTCTTTAGCTGGCTCCACGATTGACCATCAGCTTTCATTTCCTCCGCCTCAGGCAATCTTCTCCACGTCACCCTCAGACCCCAACAAAATTCGTCATTTTTTATTCAGGTGCCACTCAATGGCCATCTCGTTGAACTCTTCTCCATTTCCCTCGGCGTATTTCATAAGTGAAAGGTTCATGTGTTACCAGCAGCCCTCTTGTTGCTTATCCTTGCAGGTCGGAAATCTGATTTTCAATATCGAAGCAGTGAAACTAGACGTTGATGAGAGTCTGCAGTCTATATTGGAAGTGCTTTTTGTAATACATATTACAATCTCTGAACCATTTGCAGGCAAGGACCCATAATTAGTGTTGAACATCCGGATCGTATTTCTTATGAAGAGTGTAGATTTTCACACCGATTTCAGAACATTGAAAGTCTATCTTAGTTTCCCAACCCTGCATTTAACATCTTTATTTATACCCTCTGCTGCTACAACGATGGTACCCATCGTGATAAATGAAAGAAATAATTTCCTTCAAATTTCTCCCGTTGATAGTGACTGATGCCTGTGGTTGTTGCCACTTAGGTATGTTCATTACCTCTGTCTTCTCTACGTTCACTTGAAGTCTTATGTTTGCTGCCTCTCCCACTAACTTGTTGGTTTTCACCTATAGGTCATCGACTTTGTATGATTGGCGACGGGGATGGGATGGATCTTTCTAAATTGGAATTACTATTTGAACGACAAATGAAATTAATGGAAATGTTCGTCAACCAACAGACTGGTCCAACTTCACCTTCAAGCAATCCGAATCATACCATGCTACCATCTGTCGACGGAATTGTGAAAAGTATTTCACAGTTCAATTATAATCCAGATGCGAATGTCACTTTTGACACATGGTATCAACGATATGAGGATTTATTCACAGTTGATCTCGCCTCACAAGACGATGCTTGGAAGGTGCGAGTGTTATTATGTAAATTGGGTCCCGCAGAATATGAACGGTACTGCAACCTAATTTTACCCCACAAACCACGTGACAAGTGTTTCGATGATACAATAAAGCTGCTGCGTGAACATTTTGGAGACCACTCATCATTATTCAGCATACGTTATTGTTGCCTCAAGCTGACAATGAATGAAAATGATGATTTTCTTACTCACGTTGGCACAGTCAACCGAGAATGTGAGAGATTTTGACTCAGGTCCTTAACAGATGATCAATTCAAAGCCTTGATTCTCATATGCAGTCTTCAATCTCCTCGTTTCACAGATATCCGAACTCGACTGCTCAATCAGCTAGAACAAAATCCTAAGTTAACATTTAGATATGATAGAGAAGATTTGTAGCTCAGGTGGATAATTTTGATGTGGTTTTGTTCTCTGAGACATATACCCCCAAGCCAACCTACCAAAACAAAAGCCACCAAGGAAAACACAAAGAAAATCGCCTTACCATATATAAAGGATATCTCAGAAATCACTACAAGACTCTTCAAACCTTTAGGAATTGACGTCGTACACAAACCAACAAAGTCGCTGCACTCAATTCTATGTC